TGTAGGTTGTCCAGCGAATGGCAAGCTGGCATTGAAGGTGCAGGGTTCACATTTCAGAAATAAATAGAATAAATAAATGGCCAGACACAGAGCAAGGCCTCATCTGCAGGGGAAAGCACCCTAACCAAAAAGTTAATTTAAGGCCAGACACATCTTTTAGTTCTGATTTTTCAAATAGAAATGTTAGCAGGGAAACGGATATGTTATTAATACTGCACATGTACACTAACTGAGCTAATGACGAAAAATGCAGAGCATGGGTTGGCCAAAGATAGATCCTTTAATTGCCAGTGGGTTTAAGATATAAGCATATGCAGAATTCTTCTATGTAAGTCAGTTGGAGTTAACGCAGTTTAATGTGCCCTGGAACTCTGATAATGCATCACCTGCTTGGATGGAGGCTAGAGAGGCCTGTGTGAAATTAGAAATTGGCCTCCAGTACACAGGGAGGGATTAAACCACAGAGCCTAGGACTTGCCGATCAGAAGGTCGGCGGTTCGAATCCCCGTGACGGGGTGAGCTCCCGTTGCTCGGTCCCTGCTCCTGCCAACCTAGCAGTTCAAAAGCACGTCGAAGTGCAAGTGGATAAATAGTTACTGTTCCAGCAGGAAGGTAAACGGTGTTTCCATGCGCTGCTCTGGTTCGCCAGAAGCGGCTTAGTCATGCTGGCCACATGACCCGGAAAAACTGTCTGCAGACAAATGCCGGCTCCCTCGGCCAATAAAGCAAGATGAGCGCTGCAACCCCAGAGTAGGCCACGACTGGACCTAATGGTCAGGGGTCCCTTTACCTTTACTTACACAGGTAAAACCCACATTTTATTGGGCTGTCCACTTTTGCTGCTGCCCCACTCAGCATATGAAGCACATGGAAGGGAAAGGTTCTTGGAAAGGAAAGGGTTTTTTTACCTCTGCTCCATATGGTCAACACTATTCAACTTCCTACTCATGCCATGACTTGATTTGAATGGGGAAAATACTTGGAGACCCTTCCTCTGTAGCCCCATCCATTTAGTTTTTGCTAGAGTCCAAGTCTGTGCAATAATGCTAAAACAACTGTGCTGCACACTAACTGCAAGCCTGATAAAGTCCCTGCTAACCAATGGGCAGATTAAAAATAAACAAATCTTCCATTGACTATGGATCATGCAGATTTGCCGTAGACAGATTATTTTAATTACAATGCTGCTGATGAAATGAACTAAATCAGAGTCTAAATAACTGAATGAAGTTGTGTAACAAAGCTTTTCATTGAGTAATAATTTAAACAAGGTGCTCCTATGACGAATATTTTGGGAAGCAGAGTATTCTGGAAATGTGTCTCACTTTTTTAACAGCCAAGCTGTATTCTCCAAAAGCACATACACACGAGTTCTCATCCTTCTTGCAAAATGATTTATTGCTGTCAGATTGTAATCTAATTTTAGGTGAGCTCATCCCCCTCCACTGCCTTAGAGCCATTTTAACTTCATATTGCTCCCTTACCATAGCCACGAAGAAGAAAAGATACACACTCCCTCGTGCATTAAGGATGCTATCCTGACATTTTTGCTTCAGCCAATTGCTCTAGAAATCATCAATATTGCTCTACTCCTAAGCAGACCTTTTCTGAGCACAACAAAAACAAATTGCTTGTATCAGAGCTTGCCTTGACCTCTATATCCCAGAGTGGGAAAACCATATGCTTTAACATAGCTTGCAAGAGCAGATGAAAGCATTCCCAAGCCCCCCAATGGTAGATCAAGTGGTGGCATACTTTAGCTTATTTGATGAAAATATACCAGTGTGGTTAAGCTCCATTAGCAGTCATAAAGACTTCAGAAATGCTCCTTCAGTGGTGACTATGTACAATTGCATTGTGAAATTTATTGAGCGTTCATTGCTGGTAGGGCACCTCGCTAACATCCCTCCCTATGGGGGTTTTGCATACTGCTGCCGCAAGCCTTGAATCTAAAGAGTGCTACTAAATCTTTAGGGAAGCTGCTTCGGAAACAGTCATCCATCTACACACAGCTCCATAACCACCTCTTATGTGATATATATTTATTGAAGTCTTACTACTTGGTATGCCTCTTACTATCCACAAAGCCATTCACGTCAACTAAATTGTTTCTGCTTCTGTTTTGCACATACGTTGCATGCAAGCAGGTGAACAGGCTTGTGCACGCACACACGTGCACACACGGAACATCTCAAACCTTGTGCAAATTCTTGGACTGAGCAAACATTATTCCTCTTTGCTAGTGGGATTTGTAGCTTTCCTCAATCATACCATTTTGATTTAGCATAGTTACTAGAGTCCCCAGCCCTGATTCTAGTTCTGTAGTTCTAAGCTCCATTTTGTATGTTATACATGTTATAAAAGTGGTTAACCCTTTGGCATGTATGTTTCTACTCTCAGCCACTGAGAGGTGGTCTACCATATCCACAGCCTGATAGGAGGGAAAGATTGCTTGCAAGACTTGTTCAAACCTCTGATCTACCTTTCCTATACTAAATTGTGGAAATCATATGTTTGTTAATAATAAAAAGGATGCTTAAAGATTAGTTCATCCCTCTGAATCCCTCTGCAGAAACTACAGCCTGAAAGAAGATACAGCAGCTATTGGTATCCAGAACTCCCAGAGAAGATCAATGCGTTATTTGGGACACCTCTTCATCACATATTACATGCTTCAGTGCTATGAACATTTCAGAAAGGTTGACTCAATAAAAGATGTCATCGTATGCCCTCTGCAAAGATACAGATACCCTGAAAAGCAATTAATTATGAGCCACATAATTTAGAGATCAAAGTGGTAATTTTACATGGAAGAAATACTAGAATGTACCTACATATTATTGTAACAAATGAATGACAGTGTTTCTCTCGCTCTAATGAATTGGTCAACTAGCACAGCAAAGAATACTCAGAATATACACAACAGAATTCAGGATATTCAACATTCTGGCCTGAAAATTGTCTTTTGAACATACAGTATATTAACTGTGGAACTGGCAGTGTTAAGAGGTTTTACCACCATCAAGTGGTATATAATTTTTGTTTAAATAAACAAAACAAAATATAATTAAAACTAAAATAAAATGGGTAAAAATAAGAAATGTTTTCTTATGATCAAATAACTTCCCAGAACATAGCTGGCATATTTCAGAATGTTCCATATATGGTTTCTTTAAAGCGATTTCCACATTACCAATGCACAATTTAACTAATAGGTTAAATATGGATTAAGAATCACAGAGCAGAAGAAGATAATTTCATACAATATATTTTGCATTTGGTTGGAAGCCTTAATGTAAATCAGTAATAAATATGGAGCAATGCTGTTGGGACAAGTGAAGCAAAACGAGCCATTGTTTTTGCGTAAATGAATTCTCTGTCTCTCCCTTTCAGTGACTGCATTTGCTAAAAGGTATGAAATGAGGGAAAGAGTGTCACCGATATTGAGAATGCTCATCCAAACCAATATGGCAGAGCTTGGAAGTTACTGAAACAAGAAAATGGTACAAAACGTATATGCTCATGGTAAATAGCAAATCATTATTTGTTCATGATAAATCATACCAGTCAATTATAAAGGTTTGCTGGACTAGAGTAACATGAATGATAATGGAAGGATGACAATTCTATCTCCATTATATTAGAGAGACATGGAGACATGGAGGCCCTTCTCATCTCAGAACATTTAGTATGTAATATGTTTATAACTTATAAGCGCTATGTTATCACAACCTCTCGAAGACCGGTTTTAATTTATTCGTGAATTCATGAGAACTTCTGATAAAAGTAGCAGCAGTTTGGTAGACAGCACACATCTTTTTATAACTGGGTTAACACGGAATAACTTGAACAGGACAGGAAACTTATAGAACCCAATAATTCTTCTTACTCTCGCGTTCCCAAGTTCTGTTTAACAGCAACACAGTGAGTATCTCACCAACCAGTGCAGCTTTCTTTCTTTTTGTGCCAATTGCCATTATTAGGCGCGAGGTGACACAGTAGGAAAAGAGACCGGTTCACTGTGAGACCTGCTACTCACTCTCTTACAGTGTAACGGCCCCCCTTCCAACTGCTCATCACTGCAGGGATCTAGACCAATGGGGCACCACATAAACTGTAGAGACCCTTGTTCATCACGACTAACTCAAGATGGAGAAATCGAAAACAGCATAGCATTATGAAGACAAGTGGAACGTTTCAGGTGGCTGTCTCCCTGTTTCAGAGTTCAGGCCCGTACACATTGCAATCACCCTTCATTGCTTTTCTCTACCAGTACCTACTTTAAAAAGATCCAGGCACCTCATTATAAGGATGCTACTCAAGTTATCACTGAAATATTAACAATTCTAGTAATATACTTCATGCCCTAGCTTTGATCCAGCATTTTAAGAATTGATGCTTTGAGGACATACAGACTTGCAGCGACAGAGCAAAAAAGTATGAATATCCTTTGGATATTTAGTTATTTAGGATGAAGCATTTTTAAATATTTAAGACCCTTGCAAAGGGAAGGAACGGCATGGATTTAGAAAACTATTCCATAAGTCAAGGGGAAAAAATAAGATGCAATAAGCCTGTCAAGGCAGAAAGGGAATATGCTTTTCCCACCTCATCCCCAGTGTAGATTGGAGGGTATTCTTTCCTCAATGGGCCACCATTTATCTCTGATTTTTACTGCCACACTTTTCTCCCTGAACCATGTATTTATGCATGCTTAAATTGAATAGAGTCCAGCTGAGCACTGAGAGAAGGGTCTGTGTGAAAAGATTTGAATGGCAAATACATTGTTGTGGAATATTGTTTGCAGAAACAAATTTGGGTCAGGTCTTCAGCTGGGTAGAGTTAAGGGTTTAAGTGGGGCCAGGGATGTAATTTTGGGAGCCAAGGCTGCTTCCTCTCTTCATACACAGGCATACTGACTAGACTGCGGCACCTATGAATTCATCCAGACACATAACTTGGAAGATCTAGCTGAAGAATCAAGTAATAGATGAAAATACCTGCTTGCTGTGCAGTCTGTGGTATTTGTGGGCTCCGTTGTGTATTGTATTGAACAGAGGCCATGGGTCTGTACTGCTGAGTTGCTGAGGTAGGGTATTGACCAGAGGGGTAATAGTACACAGGCATCTGTGGAAAATAGGAAAGAGGAAAAATGTATTGTAAAGCCATACACAGCTCAAGCATATCAATACACAGCTCAAGCATATCAATTCGATCATGTACAGAATTATTCATGAAATGTAGGATTTTCGAGCTTAAAAGTCTCCTGATAATATTAGGAAAAGCTGCAAAATTGTAATTTTTTTAAAGCACATCAAATAGTCTACCAAGTGGAATATTGGCTAATCCACAGGTGTGTGTGTGTGTGTGTGTGTGTGTGGTAATGCCAACCACCTAGAGAAAGCAAGGAACTTGCTGTTCTCTGGACTCATCACAAGTTCAGAATAACATCCTGCAAATCACCAACACTATTAGATACAGTTATATAAAAAGAATATAACATCACAGAGAAAACTGCAAGGCACAAACTACTTCATGTAACAGGGATGATTACAAAGGAGGGGAGAAGGAACAGGAGAGACCATTGGAATCAGGTGAGAAGAGGGAATGCAGCCCCTGAGATGATTCACTGCAGAAATGGGGAAAGGAAACAAAAATCTCCAGGACCAGGGAAATTACAAAAAGAAGAGGAAGCTGGTGGAAGAGCAAGTTCATCAGTTTGACAAATCCTCTAAAAGTTTATGAACAAACACTGCCTGCTCTTTCTTTTTCAAAGCCTGGTTTGTGCTGGTTTTGAGTCCAGTGGGAGCCTCTGTTTATTTCAATATGCATGCCGCTTTCTGGTGAAGTAGTGGGTGGACACTGAGGAACGTGTAAGTGGTGTACAAGTCCTACCACACATTCAGCACACACCCAGATTAAGGTGTGTCAGGGCATGGATACAGAAAGGGGCATAGAAATTTGCTGCTGGTTCTTTTTGTACAGGAAGTGTGCTAACAGCTTCCTTTGCAGCTCTGGCAATGAGCGTGGCAACTGAGACCTAGCATATCTTTCCTAGTTTAGGACCACAAAGCTCAGCTTTTAATTCATCAGGTGACAGCACAAAATGAATGCCTTGATTATCATTACAAAGATGTCTGCAAACATGACATGAATTCTTTGCAGAAAACTGTAGGACCATCCTAGAGACTTGGAGGAAAGCTTAAAGCCTGCCATGGGAGATGGACTGAAGAAAAGGAAATCTGAATTGGCTCTGCCCCATAGCTTGACCAATCATAGCTAGGAGGAGCTAGGAGCGGCTAGGAGCTAGGTAGAGTCATTGTTCTAAAAAAGTGTAGACTTGCACAAGCTGGCCAGCTTTCACTTTGACTTGAAATGTTTGTTTTGGGCTTCTCAGAAGTATGCAAAGGCAAGAAGCTGGTGGGTGGAATGCTGTTCTGCAATGGCACGCACCCCAGAGGTTCTGGAACTGTGCTCTGGCTGAAAAAAAGCAGTGTGTTTAGTGTTTTCTGACCTAACCACCCCTTAGATCAGGAACAGAGAACCTCTGGGCCGTCACATGTTTTTGGACTACAGTCCCCATCATCTCTGAACATTGGCTTTGTCAGTTGGGGCTGATGGAAACTGGAGTCTCATAGGAGTGTGAAGGGCCACAGGTTTCCCATTGCTGCTTTAGGTACAGTGGTACCTCAGGTTACATACGCTTCAGGTTACAGACCCCACTAACCCAGAAATAGTACCTTGGGTTAAGAACTTTGCTTCAGGATGAGAACAGAAATCGTGCTCCGGCAGCGCGGCGGCAGCAGGAGGCCCCATTAGCTAAAGTGGTGCTTCAGGTTAAGAACAGTTTCAGGTTAAGAACGGACCTCTGGAACGAAATAAGTACTTAACCCAAGGTACCACTGTATTCTGTATTAAGAATACCACTGTATCCTGTATTGGGCCAGGAATATAGAGCCAAGAGTAATGAAAAATGAAGAGGGAAATGGACGAGTTTTAAAAGATGACTTTCCTCCACCTTGTAATCATTATCTACACATTATAGCACCTTTGATATTGAAAGAAGAGCTTGGTGGCAAGGTTACATCCCACAAACCATAACACACCTTCTTGGATAATCATAAATTGGTAGCTTACATTTAGCAATTTATATTTACAAAGTATTATAGAGACATAAATCAATTTATCTCTGTAGAATTTAGATACTCTTATCTGGAGTTAGCCACAGGGAAATTATTTTTTTTAAATTGACTGCAAGAGAAAGCATTTGTTATAGACTCCATTTAGTGACACTGGAGCTGCCATTGATCTTTCAAAAGAATGCCATTTGCTGGATATAATATCAGGTGGGGAAAAACATGTCGTTTGGGATGATTGATGGAGTAACTTTTTACATTATGCAAATGACAACTATACTATCTGAACAAGATGAGGCTGTGCAGTTGCTGGACTGGAGTCTGGAGGCTATAACTGGCTCAGTGTTTCCCAACCTTGTGCCTCCAGATGTTTTTGGCCTACAACTCCCATCATCCCTGACTAGCAAGACCAGTGGCAAGGGATGATGGGAATTGTAGGCCAAAAACAGCTGGAGGCACAAGGTTGGGAAACACTGAACTGGCTGAACGAAGGGCAATAAACTGATGTAGTATCCTGATAAGATGGAGATGCTGTTGGTCAGTGGTTCTTGTGTCTGGGAACTGGAGATAAATCCTGTTTTTCTCCCCCTGCCCCAAGAAGCAGCTTCATAGCTTGATTCAGCACCGTAACTGGAAGCCCAGGTAGAATCAGGGCAAGGGTGGCATATTTCTAGCTCCAGCTGGTTCTACCTGTTTATGGATCAAGATTGCTCGCCACAGAAACCTTGAATGTTCTGGTAACCTTGCAGTCAGATAATACACATTATGTAAGGCTACCTCTGGAAGTCACATCTAGGGCAAAATGTGGACATAAGACTGGTAAGCATCATATTTAGTTAGACAGTGCCTATCCTGTGTGATGGGACACGGGTGGCGCTGTGGGGCTTGCCTAGGGCTTGCCGATCAGGAGGTCGGCAGTTCGAATCCCCGTGACGGGGTGAGCTCCCGTTGCTTGGTCCCAGCTTCTGCCAACCTAGCAGTTCGAAAGCATGTCAAAGTGCAAGTAGATAAATAGGTACCACTCCGGCGGGAAGGTAAACGGTGTTTCTGTGCGCTGCTCTGCTTCGCCAGAAGCGGCTTAGTCATGCTGGCCACATGACCCGGAAGCTGTACGCCGGCTCCCTCGGCCAATAAAGCAAGATGAGCGCCACAACCCCAGAGTCGGTCACGACTGGACCTAATGGTCAGGCGTCCCTTTACCTTTATCCTGTGTGAACTGCACTGCCAATTTGGCTCTGGGATCAATTCAAGGTTTGGACATTATCACAGTCCAAGCCCTGAATGATTTAGGTCTCAAATATTTGAAGGAGCTCTTTTCTCAATATCTGCTGTCTTGTGGTCCTTCTGGTGGGGTAGCCCTTTGTGTGGTGATGTAGAATAGGGACCACTTTCTGAGAGGTCTGGTTGTCACCTTCCAGTATGGAGTTTTTGGTGCAGCCTAAATAAATGTTTCTTCACCTAGGCCTTGGGGACAGATTGAGAAGTTCAAGGCCTGTGACTTTTTAATGCTGTGCTTTAGTGATGGATTGAAGTAATGTAAATGTTATTGTGTTTATATTTCAGATGTTTCATTGAATTCTTATGGTATTGATTCTATTTTGTAAACCAACCTGGGATTTTATTAAAATTATCAGCAGCAGCCGCAGCAGCCGCAACAACAGTAGCAGCATTAAGGTCAGTTTGGCTGCTGGTCTGATATATCTGATTGAAAAGTGATGCTGGTTATTGACATAATGTTGTTGGCCATGATTACTAAGGAACATGTGAAGAAAGAAGTGCAGATCAGAAGGATGTGCAGCACATTTTTCTGAAGTGAGGAGAGTAAAGTGGGAATTTTCTCCCACTGAAAATAAAAACCAGGCTGCTCTAGGCATTTTCTAGTCATCAGCTTGCCACAGAGAAGTGTCACAGAACAATCAGATAAGAGGCTGGACAGCAAAAGAGAATTCCTGTTAAGCTTCTAAAAGGATGTCTCAGCCAGAACGAGACAATGCAGGGCAGGAGGAAAAAGCAAGTGAAGAACAAATGCTTTCCACTCCTCTTAGATGTGCCACTTTTAAAATCTATCCGCTCCTTCTTTGATGCAAAAATGGGAAACTGAGCTTTAGAAGGCAGCGGCAAAGGCAGCTTTAATTAAACTTTAATATATTAATGTGTGATATCTTTAGGCTCCCTGGCTCAGCTAACTTCCGTCTTTTTCCTTCAAAGATAATCCCACACTGACTGGACATGCTCACAAATTGCCTACTGCCAGCTGAATCCAAGGCTATGGGATCCGACAGAAGAAAAGCCTCTTGGGCTGCTGCAATTACAGAAACTAATTAGACAATTTACACACAAGCCGCCCCATTATGATACCAAAGCTGACAGCAGGACACCATGGAGCAAAAAGATAAAATAAAAATGATTTCAACATTGATTATATTCTGCGGATGGTTGCATCCCAATAGTTTGCAAGGCTAAGTAGAGTAAGTACAAGGGTACCTCGGGTTACATACGCTTCAGGTTACATACGCTTCAGGTTACAGACTCCGCTAACCCAGAAATAGTACCTCGGGTTAAGAACTTTGCTTCAGGTTGAGAACAGAAATTGTGCAGTGGCGGCACAGCGGCAGCAGGAGACCCCATTAGCTAAAGTGGTGCTTCAGGTTAAGAACAGTTTCAGGTTAAGAACAGACCTCCATAACGAATTAAGTTCTTAAGCCGAGGTACCTCTGTACATTGAAATCTCCCTGTCTGTCCACCGCACTCAATGTTAACAAAAATCAACTTGAGGAATCCTAAAGTTTATTCAGATCTACTTTAAGCTGCTGTCTTTGTCCATGGAGTTTTCTTGGCAGGGATACTGGAGTGGCTTGCCGGTTCCTGCTCCAGGTGGATCACGTTTGGTCAAAACTCTCCACTATGACCTGTCCATCTTGGGTGGCCCTGCACGGCATAGCTCATAGCTTCTCTGAGTTATTCAAGCCCCTTTGCCACGGCAAGGCAGTG